ACGTTTAAGATTGGTTAAATGTTCCCAACACCACACCTTTAATGGGAACGCACAGGGGAAGCCCTGTGTTAACTTGGCAAATTGATACCCAACTTTATGTTGTTTATCCTGATTGCACTTCACTTCGGAGTATAGGGCCAAGAAGTGGGATAGTCTCAAAATCCTGCGTCCTTTAAAAACTCCCTTTTAACAGGCAGAAACCTCCAGCAGAAACAAACTTCCAGCTTAGGGAGAGGCAGTCATCTTCCATGACCAGTTGAGGGTTAGGGGAGAGAGGCTGTTGCCAAAAAGTCTAATATTTCTCCTTTAAAGGTCAAGTGCATTCACTCATAGGCTGCACTCTGTCTGGCTAGCAGAGCCAGACAGAGTGCAGCCTGGGCGCACATATTCTAAACTCCCAGCTATCAGTTGGTTTATACTGTTTTAAGCCCCCAAGGGCTCAAACTAGCACTTCCAGCTGTGGGTGGAGTCAAAACAGAAGCATGGCTCTTTTTTGTAGTAGGTGCTGATGGGGGATAGAGGTTAGTTTTTAGGAGATGAAGGTGTGACGATGCAGTTTTTGGACAGATTGAAGAAAATAAACGAGCTCGTGATAAGGTAAGACAATTAGCTGGATAAAGAAATGAAGAAGTCATCAATGAGAAACAGAAAGGAGGTGAGAACAGTGCACTGTATGGCCTTAGGTCTTTGACACTTGGTTTTCCGGTAACACCCTTTTGACCCAGCTGCTGTCTGTGAGCTCCCTGTGATCTCTGATCCTCTGACCTTACAAATGCAGCTCCCAAACACACACGTGCACCAACACACACACCTTTAAATCTTAAAATAGCTACAGTTAATAGCAGTTCCCCAGAGCCCCCAAGCAGGATGTTTCAACAGTCTGAGACCAGCCACCACATGCAGCGCAGCGCAGCTCTTTCATCGTTTTCTTCCGGATTCTGATTGGAACTGGTGTTTATTAATTTAAATTTCATTGAGTACGACTGTTTACAGCTCGCCGTCTGCTTGCGGGTTAGAGTCGGATACGGGAGCGAGTTATAGCGAGAGGGTGGTGTGGGGGCAAATTCCACGCGCTTGTGAAGATCCATCGCACGCAGATGTTGAAAACATGTGGAAGCGCTGGCTGCAAGTTTCACACACAGCAATTAGTGTAGAACTAAACGATGTGTGTTCGTGTGTGTCTTTTATGCGCGAGCTCCCCTCTTGAGCGCTTGTAGCAGCCAGCTGTACGTAAGTGGGGGGAGATTTCCGTGACGAAGTTAACTGGAGGGGTACATTTATTAAAGTTGAGCGGAGAAATGCGCCAGTGCTGATGATAACCCTAATCAAGCCCATTTTCTCATGAATGATTTTCTGATTTTATTTATTTTAGACAGAATGCATTTGTTGTCTGGTATAATATACTAAAAACAATATAGTATGTGGAGCATCATAACAGATCGAGAGGTGCAGGTATCACCACAGAAGTCCACTGTGTTCCTCGGATTTGTACGCAGCCCTTGCAGCCCTCCTATCTAGACATGTAGGCATGGACTCATCTTGACACACTTGACAGACAGGGCTCTTGAGTTTTCTGTTTTGTACAGATATAAGGGTTTTAGATGAGTCTAATTCTGATTATCTTATCTCTGACTGCACATTTCTAAGCTCAACATGGCATTAATGCTTAGCTAGTTTGCTTTGCCTTCACAGAGCAATGGATCTCTACTCAGAGGATCGGGCTTTTTCAATTACAGAGACTTGAATTCGCTCCATGTCAGAGCATGTTATGGCTGTCTGCTTTTTGATGCTCTGGACCACGTGCGTTTCTCTTCTGTTCTCTTTGTGTGGGCTCGGGATGCTTCGCACAGCAGGAAGTGCTATTCCTATGCTTGTTCTTCAATTACTGTGTAACAGCGCTTAATACAGTCAACCAGCCTGTTAAGCAGCAGACAGCTAATTTAGCACAACTCAGCTTGATGAGCGAACAGAAAAGACAGCACTGACAAACACATCTTCCGTGTGTGTGTCTGTGTGTGGCCTGTTAGGATATGCTCCGAATGCAAATACCATATTAGACACATGTCACATTTGATGCAGTTTTTGGTCATGTCATAGCAATCCTGAGCCACTTCAGTCCTTAATTAGCTGAAGCCTAATATTCTAATGCATAAATATTTCCACCCTAAAGTCAATGTTGATGCAACATCAAAACTTCCCCAAAAGTTGATATTTAAAAGGTGCATAATGGACATTTTATGTCAAACTTTAAGAAAATTGTAAAAGAATCACACGTTAACATTTTCAAGATTTTGGTAATATCCTCATCTCAACAAAATGGTCATTGCACCTATTAAATAATAATAATAATAATAATAATAATAATAATGGATACTTTATTGATCCCCATGGGGAAATTACTTGTTTTTCTCTGCATTTGACCCATTCACTCAGTGAAGCAGTGGGCAGCCCACTAAGCAGGCGCCCGGGGAGCAGTGTGTAGGGACGGTACCTTGCTCAGGGGTACCTCAGGGTAGCCGTTAAGTGGATTCGAACCGCCGACCTTCCGATCATGGGGCGACCACTTTACCTACTGAGCTATCCCTGCCCGACTATAGATTTATGGGTGCGTATGTGTGTGTGAGGATGTTTAAAGTCATGTACAACTACCCACATTTATCACTAATCTAATTTACTCCATTAGAGCTCATTTAACTGTTCTAGCATGTCCTAATTGAGGCCATGTCCTCACCGAGACCTCTTAATGTGTCTCTTGTTGTATAAAACAGCGGTCTCCAACCTTTTTTGGGCCACGGACCGGTTTATGCCCGACAATATTTTCACGGACCGGCCTTTAAGGTGTCGCGGATAAATACAACAAAATAAAACTAGTACCGGTACCGAAAAAAAGAAGATTTATTCATAACACACGTGAAAAGACCAAGGAAAACAGAGTTAATGATAAAAACGATAACAAAATAACGCTGAAAACCGATAAAAACCCTGAAAACCATACATTTCACACCCGAGCCTCAACTCTCGCGGCCCAGTACCAAACGACTCATGGACCGGTACCGGTCCGAGGCCCGGGGGTTGGGGACCACTGGTATAAAAATCTCGAGTCTTCTTTCTTTATATTCTGCTCGGAAAACACAAACTAAGTCCAGAAAACTATTGAGACATATGCAAGCATTTATGGAAAAACAGTTTGTACAATTTTTACGGTCTTGACAGTCAACAGTCAAGTTGATATATCAATGGCCTCTGTCCAGATGATCTCACACTGCTTCAATAATGTCAATGTCAGGGCTCTGGGGAAGCCAACCCAAGGCTTATTTTTAAAAAATACACAGCGGAAAGCTACCAGTGTATGCTTTCATTGCATTTCCAGATCAACTTGCCATATTAAAACATTAAGCCCAAGTCAGGATGCTGCATGGTAGATCGTTCTGCCAAGATTCTCAACACCGCTGGGTGAAATGCAGCCCCAAACCATGACAGAGCCTCCAGCCTTCCACTAAGATAATTTCTGATGAGACTTTGGTGAACAAATTTAAAATACAATTTAAAGTTGTTTCTTTGGCAAGTTGTTTGGCATCTGTCAATGCAACATCAATTCATTCCTTGAGTTAGCTCGAATGCTATTTTTATGCTTGAATGACAGAAGGTCAGTGTTAAGTGGTGTGACAAAGAAAGAAAGAAAGAAAAAGTGCTTTCGTCAAAAAATGGTCAGGTACAAAGAGTGGAGCGGAAAAGCAGCTGATGACTCAAAAATCTTTGAAAAGATTCCAGAAAGCCTGGAGAACTATTGCTCAAGACCTCTTTAAAAGTTAAAACCACATCTCGCTGCTTGGAAACAGAATATAAAGAATTTATGGGAATTTTATGAAGCCTTTTGTGCATTACTGTATATAATCAATTTTCAGTCCATCAGTTGTTTAACACTGAGATGTTAGTTCACCCACCGCCTAACATCTGATCATTCTGCTCTCTACCTGTGAGCTAGCACTTTGCAGTGACGGCTGTCTGAAATCTGTGAGGACTTGCATGCTCAACATCACTCACATTCCTCTTGGACGTGTCCAGATATGCTTGTTCTTTGCACATTCACAGTTTTTGACTCCACAGCTCTTTCAAAACGTATTCAGATGAGCGTGTTCTTAAATCATGAAGGTCTGTGTGTCTGAGTTCAGATGGAAAACTGAAAACTACACAAGAGACGTAAGATAACATATCACGGATGAGTTTAGTAAGTGGGTGACGGGTGGGAAAATAAGAAGTGGAAATGTAATGTGCATGTCTTTATATCATGTCAAATATAAAATAAAAAATGAAAGGGCTTATTTTTGTTCTTATGAAAGTTTAAACTATTGTGTATCAGCACTGAAAGCATTCATAGTCTGCTTAAAGCTTTGCTAAAATTGATGAAAGCATTAGGTTAAGGTTTGAGCTTGTGATGTTGTGTTTCATACCCATCAGAAGCTTTTCTTTTTGTAGAGTGTTTTGAGTTCACTCCAGTTTGAGCCCATTTCTCACCACGAGCTCCAGACCTTTATCTCTATCACGCTGCCTGTGTCAAAGGTCAGCCTGGTCAGTCTGACACTTTGATCGAGTTGTGTTTGGAGTCTTTCTCCTTCCTCTTTGAGTTTCTTCTTCGTCTCTTGATTCTTCAGTTTGTTGAAAATGAAAGGTTGAGCGAGTTTTAAAAGCAATCGTGATGTTTGACATGATGTGCACTTTAAAATGCATCACGACTATTGTGAAATATGGGGAAAAATAGTTTTCTTAAGAGGAAAGAAGAACAATGCCACCCCCATGTATGTAGCTTAGCAGACTGAAGGGAAACCGTCTAGTCTCTGTCCAAAGCTCTGTTCAGCTCCTATAAAATGATTTGATAAATGATTTAAGCAAGTGCAGGACAGCATGTTAATTAGTTGGCTTTGGAGGTGCTGATTAGTGAGTTTATTGGATTGATGTTTTTACGATTCTAAGGCCAAACGTTAAATCTTCTCTCTGTTCAGAGTCTCCTCCAGAAAGGACAGGACGCCGCCGCAGTATGCCGGGGTCCTCGGACAAGAGCACACCGTCCATGGAGCCTACATCCACCGCTGCGACGCCTTTCAGAGTCACCGTGAGTACTGTGAGTTTGTCTTTGTTTTCCTTTTTTCTGCCTCTTCTTTGTTTTCTTCTCTGACTGTCATTTTCTCCCCCTTGATGTGCCTTAGCAGGCTGTTTCTTATAGAACAGGTTTGCTTTTCCCCCTTTTTCTCAAGGCTCGTCTGGCATCCAGATGGAAGGATGCCAATCTGAAACTCATTTGCTTTAAGTGTTTGGAACAGGGCCTTTGATGTTTGGCGTCTATGCAACACAAATACATTTGCACAATTTGGGTTTCTACTCAGCACTCAAACCCTCATTGATTTTGATTTACCTTCATTAAATTTCTTATTCTCATTCGAATAGTTCAAGTGAGCTAAGGCACGCACATACTCCCACACCTGTTCGTGCTCGGCATCCATCCGCCATCTAGCACGCTTGTCCTCTCCTCGGTCAAGCGCGCACACAAATGCAGAGCAGTGCTTTGCCTGTCATGTTGCATAATTCTGCTGTGCTTTCTGCCATGTTTAATTCAGCAGATAAACAACCAGTTGATTAAGCAAAAGCATCCTCTATGAGTCATCAATTTAAAGATAATTAGCAATTAGCAGCGCACATTTCCATTAATAAATAATGAGCGGGGAGATGTCGCCCCAGAGGTGAACTGTAAACAGTCGAAGTTAGGCCAGCAGAGCCACACACGCTCAGTAATTAGTCTCTCATAAAGAATATTCTAGCTTTGTATAAACCATCAGCCTTTGCAGGTACACCAGTGGACTTAGTTAAGAGCTTCACACTCTTGCATCATTCCTGAAACCAGAAATTATATATTTGCTTTCTTTCATTTCCTTCTTTTCCCCCACCATCAGCAATATTCTGCACTCAAATGACTCTAGTGCTCTAATAAAAGCCCACAGTCAATGTAATAACAATAAACAGTAGACCCACTAGACCCACTAGTGCTGGACCACCTGCAGAGTGACAATAAAGTCTGTTACTCATATAAGACGATCACAGTTTGCCAACCTAGAGATGGCAAAACTCTAATCTGCCCTTATAAAAAGATGGAAATGGTATTGGGACGTGTGTGTGTGTGTGTGTGTGTGTGTGTGTGTGTGTGTGTGCGCTCGTTTTCTGACCTTTTAATTACGATTGTATATGCTACCACTGTAACCGGACTTCCCGAAATGTAAAAAAGAAAAGGAGAACTGAAAGCTTGCGGTGAGCAATATAAGAACCAAATGAAGAAGTAAAAGCTTGGAGGAGACAGAGAGGCTCAGGTAGGATGGGCTAGACACTGGGTAAGCATCTCCTCAGCAGCTCCTTTGTACTTTCCAAAGGAAAAGGGTAGAGGAGTGCAGCACTGCTGGTCACATGACCACTTAACTTGCTTCTGATGTTTTATTGATGAGCAGCAGTAACTTTTTGTGTAAAGAAAACAAGCTTCCTCAGGGAACATTTAACCCTCTCCTGCACTTTTCCCTATACTGCCCCCCTCTGGCGTCTGTCGGGATTACAGCAACAGTTCCCCTCACAGCAACATTCTTACCTGCACATCTTATAAGTAACATTTGACCATTATTTTTGGTGACCAATATTTTCAGCTTAAATTACTGAAGGGAAACAAGATGATTTTACCAACACACAGACTAGCAGATCATACAGATACTTCTACACTGAAGATAGATGCAATTGAGATTAATGTGCAACCATATTATTATAAAGATAACCTTGCTGTGTTCACACTGTAGACAGTATGCTGGTCTTGGCCTCTTCCTCCAAGATAGAAAAGGGAAGATCATGTTTTATGCTGATGATGTCTGTTTCCTACTGATTAATGCCTGCAAAAACAGGACTTACTGGAAAAGCACCGTCAACTTCAACTCAGTTTCAAAGAGCTTAGTAACAAGTACAGGTATGCCTTAAAGACAGAGACAGGATGTATCTTAATGCCAAGCATACATAAATATACCACAACCTAAGAGGCAGTAAATAACCATGGCGTACACAGCACCACACATATTTTAAATCTTAGTGCATATATCTTCTGTAATTGTCCTAGCATATGTGTGTTCCCCAACTCATCTTAGGCACGTTAAAAAATCTGGATTAAACCTACGATATAAACTACCTAGTTATAATCTATATACACTTAAAAGTTGATCATCTGAAAATGAACAGCAACGGTACGTCTACATTATGTGTACATTGCTGACATTACGTGCACGTGACATGTGCAACGTTGTACAACGCTAGCAGTGTCTGCAATTGATTATTTTGTATTATACAATGAAAATTTAGCTTTTTATCATTCACTGGTTAGATTTTTATGAAAACCCATTTTTGCCATCTCATTATATATTGTGATATAATGAAGATAAAAAAAAATAGCATGTTAAATTAACGTCTGTGTTTTCATACATGAGCAAAACTGTCACAGCAAAAATCATCTGTATTGCAGGTTTTTGCTAGTAATGAATAGAATTTGACTTTTTGATGTGTTTTATTTTATTTATTTATTTTTTTCATTTTTGAGCACTCATACTTTCTAATGTGGGGGGAAAGGAGGTATCTAGGACTGAAAAACAAGTAAAGGAAGTTGTGAAAGTAATTTTTTTTCTTAGCTTTATTAAATATTTAATATTTATATTATTTTTAAAAAGTCATCAGATTCTGAGAGGGCGAAGTGGGAACTTCATATTCGACTGACTCTATTAAAATATCAGTAAATCAATCATAACAGCATATTAACATTATTGTTATTGATAGTTTCATGCTAATAGAGCCCTTTGAATTGAAACTGAATATTGAATGGATGGACTGATAAGATACAGACATGGTGCGCGCACAAATGTTGGAGCGCAAACGAGAAGACGGGCAGTGATTCTCCTGCATCTTCTACTTTTTTTAGCAATAACAAACCACCCCACACTTTTCTTCTACAGTGAAAAGAGTTGTGGTGACATCTAAAGTAGTCCTCCTAGGCCTTGAGCTAAATCTGTCAAAATGTTTTTTTGTCATGTACTCTGCAGCGACTGGATTCACGATCTGCACGTGCATGGTGGAATCCATGCACACGCAAAAGCACAACTTCTCTAAAACAATTGCTCGCCAGCAGGCGAGAAAAAAATGTTTCAAAGCCAAGCCAAGAATAGTAGTTCAAAATGTGACTGTAAAAGTTACAACTTGATACTTTCTAATGTGCAGTGCTTTAAAGAGCAGACAAATAAATCTTATCTAAGTCTCTCACGTCCACGTCCCGCTGATTGCGCTAGCTGAGTGGATTGATTTGACTTAGGGAGAGATAGGATAAAGAGCTAACTCCATTCTCCCTCTTAGATAATAGCAGGGGGTCTAATTGGACAGGTAGGTCTCTTGTTTTCATCAGGTTGTTCTAGAGGAGGACAAGAGAGGTTGACGTGAAAGCAGGGAACACCCTGCTGATTGTCCAGGCACTGATTCTATCAGCCCCCATTAAGGGAGCCTGGAATTGCCAAGCCAAGGGAATAGCATTAACTCGTTGCAAGCATTTACTTTAATTTCAAGAAGAAAAAAGCCCAATTACACAACTCTTAGTGCTGATTTAATGAAATTGGACAGGCTGAGATTACGATCAAGAATGCAGGCCTGTTATATACTCGCACACAAGCGGGCATGTACAGAGCTGCACTGTAAACAAGTATCGTATTAATTATAGATGGACTCTTTTGACAGACATTAAGTTTCAGAGGCCTAGTGCAATAAAGGACAGACAGGTTGTTAAAAACCAAGCACGATGAGCAGAATATTCTATTACCCTCCTTCCCATTAGCTGTGAACCGTGGCAGTATGAATTGATTAAAGAGCTCAATGAAATTCACACTAACGTGCGACACTATAAAGCCTCCGTTTAGGTTTCTGTGTAAATAGGAATTTGCAAAGGGCCTGACCTTAGAGGGGAAAAACATGTAACGCTGATGAAGACCAACCGCAGCATTGTTGAACGAGAAGCGAATCAATGTAAAGATCTCAAACACCGTTAAGCTGAGCCTGCCGGGAGATTGTATTCTCATTAGCGAGTTGCTTTGGCGCGTGGCAGAGTGACGGCGTGATGTATGCCCTCTCATTAAGGTGTGAGGTTTTGTTTTTGTTTTGTTGGCGTCGCTCGCCATTTTCCCTTTGAGTACCTACAGCGAGATATAATGGGAATGGGTCAAGCGTCCAACGGCGATGTCAGCCATCTCTGCTTACTGTATGATAATTGGCGTCCTATAGTTTGCCAACATTTGTTCAGACAAACACCAGGATTATTAACCACGGGGAGGACCGAGCTTATTTGAGCATCTGTCGTTTCAAGTGCCGGCTGGACTCTCTCCCATCGGCTGTTCCTCTGCTTTAGCCCCCATCCGCCAGCAACCTTGTCACTCGTTTGGTATTCTTTTGCTTTCTCCCTCATTTAATTTCATTCTATTGCTTCTTCTATCAACTCGTGCTCTGCCACCTCCACATCGTGCTCCACTTTTTCCCCATTTATCCTGCTCCTGTAGCTCATCCCTTTTCTGCAGACACTTGCTGTCACTTTCTCAATTTTTTGACTGGTCCAACCTCTATTTCTGCTTCTTCATCTTCTCCTATTTCTTTGCTCTCTGGAGTTGCTGAAGGCAAATTCCGTGCTGAAATTTTTTCGTTGACCCTTTCATAAGCTAATGTTAATATAGGTATCAGTCATTCTTGAGAGGAAATAGTGTGAGGGGAGAATAGGTTATTCTCTTCTAATGACCTGTATCCTTTCTAATTGCTCTGCGAGGGCTTTGACAGGTTAACTGATATATGGAGCGGTGTCTTGTATTTCTTTTCTATGATTTTTTTCTTTTTCTTTTTCCGTCTTCTCTTTTAATGTCACGTCAGTGTCTGCGTACACCGGGGAGGGTGAAATAGAGAAATTATAGCTTTGTACGTGTCTGTCTTTTTTTTTTCTCTTCTGGATTCTATTTTTCTTTCTGCTCCATTCTTCCGAGGCCATCAATCAGGGCAAGGGGGGAAGTAAAAACAAAATGAGCAGCCACTAATCAATCCACCTCGCCTTCAGGGACGTGTTTCTATTCACTGACTTATTTCTGCAAATCGAAGGGAGGGGGGCATTTTAATTTGTTAGCTGTGAATATATCAACAGTAGCAAGCGCCTCACACACGTACACTCTAGGGCTTACGAGGAAGAAGCATGGTTTTGTGAATGGCGGTGTGTTGGAATGCAGAAAGGTGCGTCTTTGTTGTCAGAAGGTCAAAATCGTTTAGCTTTTCTTTGAGACTTCTCGTCATGTCGGTAACCGTGATGCTAAATGCATTCCAGCTGCACAGTGTCTGACTTGTCATTGTTTTCTATGGGCGCCTATGCTAATTTAACCACATGCCCACATAAAACCTCATGCACTCACATACACAGACAGGATGAATGAATTATGTATTTATACAACTAATAATATACAAGAGCGGGACTGAGAGCGAATTAGATCGAGAAAAAGGAGCCCTGTCAAAAGCATCAGGTGTCTCGCTCTCTAACAGCAGTGACTAAGCACCGTTCATTTAGCTAATAGCCCCTGAGCAGAGTTCATTGGTGGCAGGTAGCAATCGTCAGCCATTTGCTGCCCACCTCTTTGTTGGCTTATGCACATATGTTGCCAGGTATTGCTAATATAAGGCTTGCATACAAAAAATAAAATCAATCTGATTGTTGCTATTTAGTATTCAAAACCGATTAAAATGTCATTATAGCACAGTCAGAATAAATATTAAACAGTTGTTCTGAATTGTTTGAGCCCTCATCCTGGTGTTAATTTGAAAAAACAAAACAGAACTTCATAACCAACCCACAGTAATCTGTTTATTGTGGATCTCACAGCCTTTATAATTCTTTATATAGCAGTACCATATCTGTGCACATTACCTGTGTCTTGCTTTAAACCACATAAGACTTTATAACCACTTGAATAATCGCAAAGAGCTGGAAATTTTCATGTGCTGCCACAGATTTTTAGTCCAGTTCTTGTATAAATTGGCATCGCTTCTTCTTTGTCTTTCATTTGTTTCCTCAAATTTTTTAAGGACATGTTGCACACATATACTAAGACAGTTTTTAGCTGCTGTCACTGTTAGTAGCAAAGTAACAAAGAAGATACTTTGACTTTTTTAAGGCTTGTTAAGTAGTTTGACATTCTTCTGAAAGTAGTTAGGATCAAGAGTGGAGTAAAAATGAGTTTTTTTTTACTCATTTTCAGCAGCCAATTCCCAAAGAAAAACTTTGTAAGACCTTGAGAGAAGCTGAAGAATTATTGCTCAAGACCACTTTAAAAAAAATTGCAAAAAAGTCTGGTTACTTGGAAGCAAAATCCAAAGAAATGAGGGGTACATAGAGTCTTTTGCACAACACTGGACCTCCAGAGCCACATAGGGAATTTTGCTATTGTTTTCGTTTGCTATCAGGTTCTTTGAGGTGTTAAAATCGATTCTGTGCACTTTCATATTTACCTTTTTCCAAACGTCTTCCTCCAGTTGTTTCGCTACCATCTAGAAATTCAGATGCAGCTGAGAGTAGCTCCTCCATTTCCTTTGAGCATTGTGTTGTGGGATGGTAAGTGTGCACCAACAGCACACTCAAAAAGAACTGTTCTTCTGTGTGAATACTCAATACTCAATACATGGCTGTTTAAAGTACAAACTTTCCCCTCAGCATTCTGCTGACAGTACAGTAGCAGTAGTGCTGTCACCGTACTTCCCTGTCTAACTTCAGCCTTGAAAAAAACACGGCTATCCCACGCGACGCTGGATACCACACGCCGGCTAATGATACACAAACATTCTTATGACTGGCGTGAGCTTAAATATGTTGTCATTAGCAAGTCTTTGTTCGTAGGCCAGAGTGCCTCCTGGATGACAGGTGTTCTTCATCAGGATGCCGGGGCTCCTCTGTGATCAGCTGGCAGACTGTCTGGAAGTCACTCTAATTATCCCTATTCCGCTGTTGCCTGGGGCGACCTGTTCACACTGTAGGTGGTAATTATACAGGTGTGTTAATGGCGTGAATGGGAAGCAGGGAGGTCCTTTAGCCTCTAGCTTGTATAAGAATATGAAGATAAATCACTGTAGGTATTTGGTTTTTTGAACTACTTTGTTTCTTAAAGCTGCTCAGTGGATATTGAGCCTATTAAACAGCTGCCTGAACACCTGATCAGTTTAACCACTAACCAGTTTACTACTTTTTCCTACACACAGGCGTACTTTAAAATTCCCTCATCTTTGTGCTTTCACCCAAAGATGCCATATACACCCTCTTAATTACGAGTCCTTTTTTGTTTTCTTGGTCTATAATAATGTTTCTTAGCAGTTAAGTCTTTAAAAACAAAAAGGTGATAAAACAATCAGGTTTTTTGTTTGTTTTTTTGGTCTCTCCAAACTTGCAACATCATACTGTTTATGCACCACGTCTCATTATTCCCTCGCTTTTAATGCCAGCCAACAGTTGCCATGGAGATGGTGAGGCGCTTGGGGGAGTGCGATTGCAGATGTTAGAAGAAGCAAACAACTCAGACAAAGAAGAATGAGAAAACCAATAAAAGGGTGCATCAATAGAAACACTGCAGGGGGGGCACGTCGCAAGATTTGTCACAAATACATAATTAGTGATGTGGGGAAAAACTAATTTCTTCATGCATATGATCAGCCTTATTTTTGTGTGTGTGTGACAATGTTCTTTTAGTCGAGCTTCTTTTTGTGACAATATGCTGGTAGTTTTATGTCTCTGTGTGCTGGGGAAATGCTTTGTGCGTCTAACCTTGTACAGACTTTTCTTTTCTAGCATGAGCCTTTTTTTCTAGCTTTGATATGATATCTGTACCCATTTATTACCCTTTAACTATCCAGAGCACTTGCTCTCTTCTTGAATTTAGGATGCGGTGCTTAAATCCTGGTATTAATATGTTGTGTCTTACTGCCAAGTTAAGCAGTGACGCTGTCTTATGACTGTCTTTCTCTGCATCAGGGCTTTCTAAGTCGACGGCTGAAGGGCTCCATTAAGCGCACCAAGAGTCAACCCAAACTTGACCGCAATTCCAGCTTCAGACACATCCTTCCTGGCTTCAGGAGCGTTGACAATGACAGGTAATTGTTTGGTTATCATTCCTGCACCCTCTGCTTCTTCGCATATCAGCTCTCGTGCCATCCTTTGGCCGACGGCAGGTTATTTAGGTCACTGTTGACATATTGAATTGCAATGTCGGTGTACTGACAAATAATAATAATTTTTAAAAAAAAGGGAATTCCACAATCAGTCTGTCGCTCCCTATATGTCGTGGTCTTTTTCTGTTTGTTCCCCCTTCCATTCTCATGTCATGTCATAGCGTGCAGTAATATGTTTGGCTCAGAGTAGAGCTGTGGATTTAAAGTTATGTCTGTAATTCATGTCAGAGCTTGTGCTGAAATAATATATATGTTTGTTTGGTTTTGCAGTAAGGCCTAGGCATGTGCAACATTGTTGTTGACAAAAAACCAAATGAGTGTGGCTGTGAGTACACTTAACAGTTTGAACAAGTGGCTTACTAAATAATTCACCATGTGTACAGTTGTTCTAAATGAGAAAATTGGCTGCAGTGACCAAAATCATTTTTTGTCACCAGGCTGTGTACTTTGATTTAGTTTTCAGATGTATTCTTTTGACTAAAATATCATTTTTGTATAAATTTAAACGTAATACTGTCAGTTTAGTCTAGTTTTCGTCAGCTAAACATCATAAGATTACAGTAGACTAAATAAAACATTGACTTACCCTACTTATTTTAGTTGACTAAGTCTGTTGTGTTGTAACCCATGAGAATTGCTACTCACGGTTTATAAAACTTATTTTCCTTGACATCAAATGCAAAATGTATCTACTTTTCTCTTCCTCCAAAGTGTTGACATTTTGCCAGTTTTCAAGAGAAACAGTGGAATATGGGATATACTTGTACCATTTTTTTCAAAGAAAACGTTTTACCATTTCCAGAGAGCAGATTAAATGTGTGCGTCTCTAATGCAAGAACATTACTTCCAAGCTCATCTTGACTTTTAAAAAAAAAAAATTTCTGATTGGATCTCATCTCATTAGAACATTTTATCTTGTTTTTATTTTTTGACGAAAGTGTCAGTACATTTCATGATTGTATAGCAAATGCGTTGTCTTTTTGTCAAAAAGTAAAGAAAAAAAGGTTCTTGACAAAAACTATCAGGAAAATTTGTCAATGAAATTAATACAAATTAAGATGGCCTGTTTGCATGTTTGCATATGTACACTGTGATCAGATGGAGACAGTATGTGTTACTAGGGCTGGGCCATATTATACCGTTCACGGTAATACCGGTATAATGTTAGGCAACGATAGGAAAATGAAATATTGCGATAGAATGGGAGTAAAACGCGCATGCGCAGTGCCTTTGTTTTCATGCGCACATGGCCGATTGTTGAGTGAAACAGATGAACCAGAATTGATTTGTAAAAATGGTGCAACTTCCGTGATGTGGAACTGGTTTGGTGTTTGTCCGTCAGATACACGACAAAGCACATTTTTTTGCAGAACATGCAAGCAGCCGTCGTTATTGTCATATTTGTCGGACTAAGATGCTCTTAAATCTGGGAGTAATCTGGGTCCTAAACGCTATATGCTTCAGGTCAAACAACACTGCATCATCACTGAGAGTTTAAAAACTGTCTAAATTCTTTCATCTTTAATAAAACGATCAGCATTGCTGCTTAACCAGGTGTAACTATAAAGTTTAACTTCCAGGCATCCATGAAAACAAAAGTTATTACATTTAACGGAGTTAGAAGTTACCAGGAAGCTAGCGGAAGTTAGCTCGCTAGTTTCGCTAGTTACCTAAGCATGATATAGCATGTTCTGACTGAGAGATTTCTGAAAAAATTCAAACGTACAGCTCTGCTATCACTTCCAACATAAATGAAGACAGGAAACTAAACAGCAGTGACGTTTGTAGGGTTACTGAAGTTGGGCTAGCTGCTGGTATATAATGATGTGCTACGTGATCGCTAGCGACACAGCTATGTTAGCATAACATAAACAGTGAAGCTGGAGGACGAACACTAACACTTTTCCACTTATAAAAGTTAACGTGAAGGTTCCTCATGGTTAGAGACAAATGCAATCACATGGCAGGATGCTGTAAACGGACCAAACTTCAGTCAGGAGAACAACTGAGATAATCCATCCACAATACGAGGTTAGTCATTAATATACTGCAACAACATGGGAATAGAGCAGCTGCCAGAGAATTCAACATTAATGAATCAATGGTACAGAAGTGGAGGAAGCAAGAAGAATGAGTTTAATAAAGTTTGATTTATCTGACTGCTTTGTTTCACTTAATGTGCCTTATAATCCTGTGCACCTTATGGTCCGAAAAATACGCACTGCACACTGCAGTTTAATGTTGCAAAGCACCTCTTTTTAACTTCAGTGGATATTATACCACCGGATAAGCTGGAGGAGGTGGCTGGGGAGAGGGAGGTCTGGGCCTCTTTGCTTAGGCTGCTGCCCCCGCGACCCGGCCTCGGATAAAGCGGATGAAGATGGATGGATGGATGGATGGATGGATGGATGGATATTATACATGGTTATGTTCAGGATATGTCAGCCCATTTCTACTGGAAATGCCTTTTGGTTAAACTTTCAGCAAGGAATTTGCATTTGCACTGTTAAATTTTTATAAAGCTTTAATGTACATAAAAACCAGCTTCTTGTTTAAGTGAAAATAAATGGAAGGTTGTCTTTTTGCGCTAGTAATGTTGTGGAGTTGTATTTTGTCTCGCATCAATTATATCGTCGGTTATATCGTTATCGCAAATTTTCAAATATATATCGTGCTAAATTTTTTTGGCCATATCGCCCTGCTCTATGTGTTACTGTACAACCCTGAGTCGAGTACTCTTGCTTGTCCGTCAGCCAGCCGCAGAGAAGAGTGAAGTTATAACATACAAAGAGTTGAAGTGAAACAGTGTGACCACTGTAAGTACTGTCTGTGCTTTTTATGTCGTGGTTTTAGGTCTTTGAAGCTTTTGTTTGCGGTTCTACCGTTCTCAGAGAACTGTGTTGTTGCTCGCTTCCGTACTCAAGTCAGCATTCTGAACACCCATACTTCATCCACTTCTAGCGACACACAGCCGGGGTGATCCACAGGGAAACATGCACGCAGACACATCTACAAGACCATAAACTACGCTTAAGGGGGGCTGACTTGCTTTTAAAACCAGCCTCATGTGGCCACTCGAGGAAGTGTCGGTTTTTTGACACTTCCAACACTCGGCAACCCCCGAGGCCCGAGGACCAATCTTGCGCTATTACTTTGGTATGAAAGTCAGATTAAAGAGACATCGACTGTCTCTGAGGAAACCCTTTCATGTTACCACAGAGAACACCACGAGTCACACAGTCACAACAACCTTAAATGTTAAAAGCTGTAATAAATAAACAAAGTAACTCCCGAAACATCAGCTTCTGTTCTATGGGAAGCAGGGAAAGCTGTGATGAGAGGTAAAATAATTTCTTTCTCATCACATAAAAAGAAAAAAGAAAACAAAAATATTCAGGAATTAGAAAAAAACATCAAATCACTAGAAGAAGCCTACGCGTCCCACCAAGATCAGGAAACATTGAACAAAATACGCAAAACAAAACTAGAATTAAATGAGATAATTGATAAAAAAACAAAATTCTTAGTACAAAGACTACGCCTACAAAATTATGAACATGGTAATAAATCCGGTCAATTTCTAGCAAACCAGCTAAAAATAAATAAAGAAAAAACAACTATATGTGCTGTTCAAGATTCATCTGGGAACACATTATATGAACCGATACAAATAAACAACATTTTCAGGGATTTCTATAAAACGTTGTATTCACCACAAATAAACCCATCTAAAAAAGAAATTGATCAGTTTTTGGACAACATAACTCTTCCCCTGCCAGTGGCGGACCCCCTCAGACATCGGTGCGTTGGTGGTTCTTTGTGTCCGGGGATGGGCGTCCAGGTACACACCGGCTCACTCCTTGGCGGCCGCTTATCGGGGCCTGGAGCCTGGGGCTTGCTCGGGCCACTTCGGAGGTGGGGTGCCCCAGGCCGAGAGGCCACTCAGGCGCAGCTGGCTGCCGGCGGAGCTCACGGGCGCGTCACTGCAACTCCCCCTGGCTTCTGCTCCGCGGCTGCTGAGTGAGCCCTCATCTGGGACTCTCCTCAGCTCTTTCCGGGACAGTGGCGCAGCTGCCCCTCTGTTGGTCTTCCTTGGTCTCTTGTGTTCTGGGGGCCTCTGGATGTCTGGAGTTTTGATCTCCTCCACACCTGCTTCACGCCCTGGAGGACGGGGCTGTGGCCCCCCACACCCTCTAGCAGATTATTACATGAAGGAACCTTTTAAAAACAAAAAACAAGCGCGTCCATGCTCACAGGTGTACACACGGGTGATCACACCCACAAACTACACCCTTTTTGGCTCCTACCTCAAAGCACACTGTGTTCTGTTGATCTTATGTGCTGCACAATAATGTTTAACATTTAGTATTTACTGTCATATTCCCATATATCATTGTGATGTTGTTTATTCTATTACTCTTGTTCTCTTCTGCTTGCTTTCTTTTTTCTTTCTCAGCAGGTGATCCAGGTGATTGATATATGCATTTTTTTTTCTCTGCCCGTTCTGTTGGTTTTTGTCTTTTGCCCTTCTCCCCCGTCCCTCTTCTCAGCTGTTTCTCTTTCCCTCTTTCTTTCTCCCCTTCTTTCCCCCAGTCAAGTCTGTCCCGTATTCAGTAAGTGAAAATAAAATAAACAATAAAAGGTGAATCAAATGGACCATTACGGCAAGGCTGGGATGGTCAGTTTGGTAAAGTAAATCCGTTGGGCATCTTTCTTTGCCTTTAGACAACAATTCTGATGGCAAAAGAGCCAAACGGGACAGGCCAAAAAAAATAAAATAAAATAAAATAAAATAAACAAAGTAACAAGACGTGAGCGCGTGCTCGTACTTTAGCTAATCCAGGGGTCCCAAATGGGAGCCGCACTGCTGAAATACAGGGTCAAACGCTAGTCTTTCTGGATGCTGGCAGAATGATGGGAAA